TTCCATTTGTCTGAGCACCCAGCACTTTCATCCTTTCTCTGTTAGTATCTCCAAGGCATTTGTATCTCAGTAAAACTTCAGTATCCTTCACAGCATCTTACAGGAGCTTGCTCACTTTCATGACATCCGTCAGATGGCTCTCAAGGCCATTAAAGGACACCAGAGCATGGCAAAGGTCTTGCTTGCTTTTACTGTATTGTTAACCCTTTGTGTGGTTTGAATAAGAACTAATGGAAATCTCCTCTCAAGAAATGCCTATGACAAAGTCACAGCCTGGATTCAGAGCAACATTCCCCACCTTCTTATATTTGTATATATAAGCTTATATTGCCAACCTGCATGCTCATTAGATGTCTTGCAGTACTGCAACTGTTTTTACAACACAGTGTCACGCAACAACTCTCAATTGCTTCCAGCAGAATTTGCTTACTATTCATTCTTCTATCACTATCATAATGCCAAAAATCCACAGAGTTCTCAGTATGAATCTCTGGATGATGCACAGAGGTAGTGCAGGCACCATTGAAAGTGATTCCAGTGTCCCTGGAACGGGCATAAATATCAGCAGATATAGATTTGGACCAGAGTTCCCAGGACATGTGAAGAGATCGGCTCATAATTGCACATAGTAAGTAGATTGTAGTAATATTTGCATTTCATAATAGATATGCATAGTGTATACATTTTTATAGTTGGTGTGGTTGCTGTGGTAAAGAAGCCTAATACATCTGTCTTGCTGATGGAGATGAAAATGTAAGTCACAAACAAAAAACAAAGAACTGCCTCCCCTAAAGTATCTGGGTGTTCAAGATAAGTTTGGCATTGCCATAAGCAAGTGCACAGAGAACAAAGTATGAGAAAGGAGGACAGTATTATGGAAACAGTAGGTAAATCTTATTGCGTGCGTGTGTGTATACTACATATAGAAGTTATATATGTTTACAATGGTCAGTCAATAGTCTGTCACTTTATTCTTTAGTCATTGTCTGCACACTCAAGAGGTGATTAAGAAGAAGCACAAAAACCAGGTCAAAAGATGGATCAATGTCAGGGAGGCTTCTTCTGATGGAGCGATGCACCCTGGAGTTTGTTAACCTGAACTATATCCAAAGCACCTGCTGAAGCTTTGTATCTGGGGAGCAATTAGCAGACAAGGTGTTGGCCTTCATATTGGAAGGCACTTTTTCACAGTCATTCCAATTACTATGCAAGTGAATCAAAATCTTTTGTAAAATTCATAATGATATGGTACACTGAACTATATACTGGGTTCACAGGGATAATGGAATGAAAACTATTTGAGCAGAAAATCATCAAGGATGCAATTGTGATTACGTATGGGTATTAGGCTTGCACAGATTTTTTTTCCAAAGGAAGGTACGATCAAAAGATTGTTTACTGTAATGCAGTGATTTTATACTTGGTCCATGCTTTATGGTCACTCTGTTTTTTGTTCATATAGTGACCCAAGGCCACATAACTGCTTCTGCCTGTATTGAGGCTCAGGAGATAAACTCTGTTCAGTTTTTACCTGAGTGAGTAGTGCATATGCTGCAAGATACTGTGCATGAGTTCCATAAAATAAAATTTTACCATAGCACACATCCTTTATTGGTGGTGTCCTGCATACTAATTCTAATCTGTTGGCATTTTTCAGATCACCAGATATGAAACTAATCACATTAATGTGTCAGCAGTTGAAAAATTATATTGGGGCATTTGCCAGACTGACCAAAAAGGAGCAGCTTGTCACAGCATCATTTTTGGAAGGTGGTGGTGTTGGTAGTCTGAAAGTGTAACAGACATATGAGCTACCTTTGCAAAGACTTGCCACAGGTTATTGAATGAAAGGGATGCTCTAGCAGGATGTAAACACAACTCCAGTTGGGCAACTTACTGTACCTCTATAGAGTACTTTTTGTTTTAAATCACCGCATTGTATATGATGATATGTAATTATATTTCTTAACTGTTTAGTTCCTTTTCTGTGACTAAACTTCCTTGTGTATATTTTCTCTTGTCACATGCACCATTGCAGTGGTGTGCCAGTAGCATCCCACAAACACTACCATGACAGCAGTGGGGTTGGGTGGGATAGCAGGGTGATCAGATGACATATTTTATATGTGAAGCGTCCTGAGGTAGCTCTCTTGCGTTTGGCTGCAGGGTCAGTACTTGGATACTGAAACTCACATGGAGTATTCAAGACGCAATCTGCCTTCCTGATTCACACAAGCGCACACGTTTCTGAAACAGCTGCCATATAGGTCTCCCATCACACCCCAAGAACACCACCATGAAAGGGGAAAGTGACATGCGAAGAGAAAGCAAGTAATGTTCAGATGAGGGTATATCGTGACAGTTGGCTTTCAGCTTTTCTCATAGATGCTCAAATCCAGCCATTTCCAGTTGGATCCTGGTAGATGGGAACAGTAAAATTGTATTCCCAATGAAGTAATAGAGTCATAATTACTCTACCAGTGGCTTGTGAGTGCAGAGTAATGATCAAATGAAATGGTCACAGTATACTGCTCAGAGACCAGGAGAGGACCACATGGCAGCATTAACATAGGTTCATATCTTGTCAGAAGCAATTATAATAAACTCTAGTGTAGCTTTGACACTGAGTGCGCACACACCCCTTGATCCATCATAATTAACATGAATGTAAGTCTTTTAAAATATTTGTCAGGTATCAGTTGTTTAAATAGCAGAACAACACACACATCAGCTTTACACATGACCTCATGAAACAGCTCTACTCCCAGAGAAAGGACTCACAGTTAGCATCATGCCAAGGAGCCATGAGCAGGGCATCTCTTAGAGGTGCCCACTGTCCCATCGGCATTCACATGAATGTTAACCTTGACAGCAACATTACCAAGTCTTTTCAGTTCTCTGTGCTCTGGGCAAGATCCCCAGCATCATCCCTGGGTCCCTAAAATGAGGACAATGCGAAAGTACAGTAGGTTTTGTACAATAGTGCACCAAACAAGTTGGTGTGTTTGCTAGTGTGCTACACTGTAAAGGGAATTACTGGATTTTCTACTCGTGGGATGTAATATCTGTGTCTGCGCTGACTGCTGACACTTACCACTGCATCAAGTTCCTATAATGTAACAGGGAGACATGTACAATAATAAATAAAAGCAGTATTGGGCTATATATATATCAACACTTACCGATATAGGAGATTGCCTCATCACATAAAGGTGTCATGGACTATTCATTGCTGTAGTCCAGGCTCCAAAGGCAGAAAAATGTTTTTAAAGAACCGGTGGCTAATTTAGGAATTCTGTACATTTTTTTTGTGAATAAAAGTAGATCCTTTTGAGAGATTCCATTTTACAAGATTGCTCCAGCAGCCTCAGTGTGAAGAGATGAGAAAACTTGGCTGCTCTCTGCCATACACAACTGGCCTCAATGACCAAATGAAGTGCTCTGCATAGGACAGCTATAATAATTTTCTGTGGGTGGTGCCTGTAGCAGGCAGAGGGAGTGTGATTGCCACCTACTGTTCATGGGTGGATGGGTGGGGAGAGCTGACTGAAAAAAAAAGTTATATCCGGGGAGTAGATAACCTCTCGAGGTCCCTTTCAGCCCTTCTTTTCTATGATCCTATGACCAAAGAACTCCATGTGAGTGAAAAGTGCAATTTTTGCATGTGTCAATTTGCTAGTCAACAAACATAACAACAGACCCCTGTATTGGGCTATTGAGCCTCATATTTCCATGCATAAACAGCAGTGTGTTTACAAATTCAGTACTGTGCTTGGATGTCTACCCAAGTATGCATGTCTGGATGGCAGTAGGCATAACTTTAGAGTCTGTTTTTGAAAACTTGGCCCATTATATCTCGATTGGTGTCATTCTCCTGCATGTACTACATAACTATTTCACTGTGCATTGTGTGTTCACTTTACTAGTGAGCATAATAAGAACTCAAGGAAATTCAGTAGTACTAATTTAAAAAAGCAAAACAAAATTAAGTCCTCAAAGATGCTCAGAATTTTACTCTGTATTATGCCTTTTTACTCATTTTTATATACTTAGAATGTTAGCTGGCGCATATTATAGTATATGAAAAAGACCATTGAAAACAAAGCTACTGCCTTTAAAGATCCTGTTTGCAGTGTTTTTGTAGCCCTGTTGGTCCCAGGATATTAGAGAGGCAAGGTGGGTGAGGTAATAACTTTTATTGAACCAACTTCTGTCAGTGAGAGAGACAAGCTTTCGAGCTACACAGACTTGAAGAAGAGCTAAGTGTCGCTCAAAAGCTTGTCTCTTTCACCGACAGAAGTTTGTCCAATAACAGATATTACCTCATCCACCCTGTCTCTTTAAAAATCCTATCAGTTTGGTGGGTTTAGTTAGACCAGGGATTGGCAACCTTTGGCACGTGGCTCGCCAGGGTAAGCACCCTGGCGGGCCGGGCTGGTTTGTTTACCGTCCGCGTCCGCAGGTTCGGCTGATCACGGCTCCCACTGGCCGCGGTTTGCCGCTCCAGGCCAATGTGGGCAGCGGGAAGCGGCACGGGCCGAAGGATGTGCTGGCCGCGGCTTCCCGCAGCCCCCATTGGCCTGGAGCGGCGAACTGCGGCCAGTGGGAGCCACAATCGGCCGAACCTGCGGACGCGGCAGGTAAACAAACTGGCCCGGCCTGCCAAGGTGCTTACCCTGGCGAGCCGCATGCCAAAGGTTGCCGATCCCTGAGCTAGTCCATTGCTATGCTGGGTCAGGTGTGGATTGGGAAGAGCTTAACATTAAGCTACTCTGCCTCCATGGAATGTATTACTGTAATAAAACTTAACATTTGTGTTGACAGTCTATACTGTCATTCAGAAGTTTTGTCTCAGTCTTGGTTGTCACTTTACGATTATTATCTCAGAATTCTGAGAATGTTGCCTATTAACCACCATTTGTAGGGTTTCCTGAAACAGTCTTAGTTTGATTGCATTTGCTTACATTATAACTGATCAAATTTTGTCTTTTATTTTTCAGATGGTGTATCCTTGGAGCAGCAAAATCTTTCCTTACTCTCAGTGGGATCTAAACTACATCAAAGTACAGTGAGCAGCATAGCACACATGGCCTTAACACAAAGCACAGTACAACCCCAGGAAAATAATTTTCTTCATGTGGTTTTATCATCACTTACCACTCCCTTTGATATGAATTTATTTGACCAAGAAAGAATGAGCAGAAGTTCAGAAGGAAGAACTATGCCAGTGGGAGATGTCACAGTAACTAGCAATGAAGCATTTTTAAGTGACGATGGATTGATTAGCTCCTTTCCGAATGAACAGTGGACTCCTTCACTAAAGTCTATTACAGTGGAGTATCATTCAGATAATTCAGTAGAGCCACCAAGAGAAACCTTAGAAACTGTGTTGCTAAAACCTTCATTATCTGTCCTTTTGTTGCCATATGACGAAATGAAAACAGCACAACAAATGACAACATCACGTGCTGCCTCTGGTCACAGTCGTGCTTTCACACAATTGAAGCCTTTTGCTCCAGATGGTATAATTCCGACTACAAGCAGAGACTTGCTATTGTACCCCACAAATACAGATATTTATTTAAGTTCCACTACATCAGAGGTGGTGGTTGGACTGGCGGGAAATGTAGATGGAAGCTATGCATCTAGTTCAGACTCCTCACTGTTTTTGCCTTTTGATACTACTTCAGAAGGGTCCTCTGTTCTTACAAGACAGCTGAATGAGGATAGCCAACTTAACCCAGATGCTTTGGCAAAAAGTACTGATCAATACACTGAAGCTTACCCTGATGTGAATAGCGATGCAACAGAAACTTTGGATCTAAGGACCTATTCTGTTGCAAGCATTTCTAGGGCAGCACCTGTTTTGGTAACCAGCATGGAGCCTGCTTTGTTTTCAATTAGTCTTCCATATGTGTCTTTCCCAGTTCACTCAGCTGCTGGTTCCACTGACTCAGATACTTTTGTTACTGATGACTTGTTTACACATGTGTTTTCCCATAAATCCTCCAGTACAACACCAAATTTGCCTGGCAATTTAGAAATACCAAGTCAAGTTGAGCTCTTCAGTGAGTTCATAAGCCCAGTGCCTTTCACTAGACCATATGCTTCATGTTCATACTGTGACTTTGCCTCAGTTCCACCGGAACAAGTGTTTTCAGCAGGACACACAGAACATGATGTGGGTTCGGGTGATTATATTGAAACATTGTCCTTCACAGCCTCTGAGGAAAAAGGCATTACTCCACTTACAACTGTAGTTACTGACTTGTATGAGCTGGAGGAGTCAACTCCTGAAATCTTTGATACTACTTTTCCATCAAGACCTGTTGTTTCATTTTCTTCAAGAATTATAGAAGTCTCTGAGTCAAACTTGTTTTTTTCAAACAGTGTGGACGTTGGTCTTAACATAATGAGTACAACAATATTTCCTTCCTACAGACAGCCCTCTGAAGGAATATCATTGGATATCACTTCTGTTCAATTCCCCTTCCCTATTACTGAAACTGTTACTTTAACATCTGGTATTAGAGCAAAACCTTCTGATATCACCAGCGTTCTCCTTGAATCCGTGTTTACCACAAGTGAGAATATACCGTCAGTTACAATCAAACATACAGGCCTGCTGGAATCACCTGAATTTATGCCCTCAGAATCTGTACTTTGGCTTGACAAAACACCTGCAAGTGTTTCAATGGACAAATCATCTGTAAATATTTCAGATTTTTCATCCAACCTTTTATCAACACCGTTTCTCTCTGAACCTAGCAGCTGGTCATCTTTATCATCTGCTGTATCCACCTTTTATTCAAGAATGCCAAGTGATTTATCAACACTATTACCTCAGGTCTTCCCTACACTGCTGGGGACATCGGTAGTTTTTGATGATTCCTCTAGTTGGGATTCAACTGAGTTTCCTGCCACTGACAGCACAAGCATAGAGGTTTCTCAGCTCTCTCCCTGGCAGACTTCATACCTTTATTCAAATACGTTTTCTGTTCCAAACACACACAATCCTGAAGTAATATCATCAAGTTTTTACTCTTACTCTTCCATGTTACTAGAAGGAACATCAGTCTTGCTAATGGATTCTGAAGTTTCGTTTACCTCAGTTTTCACAGAAGCTACCTCTCAGTTAGAGTCTTCACTCTTCTCCCTTGAATCAGCAGTTCCTAGACTGGTGCTGTCCATTTCTGACTCAGAATCTTTTCTCACCAGCAATATCTTGGTTGATGAAACACACTTGACCTCATGGTTTACCACCTTTCAGACAACTCCTGTCTTAAGTGTATCTTCGTCCCTTCTCTCAACTGTTACAGCTTCAGATGAGGATACTGGTGCTACTGCTAACCACACGTTGCTTTTAACATCTCTTTCCAAGGCAACTGCTAGTACAGCACATTTTACAACAAATCCATATACACTGTTGTTGCATACAGATGTGAACAGCATTATCGCTTCACCTACAGAGTCAATTTCTGTAGTTACATCCTTTGTACCTACACAGCTGCCTCCATCCATAAACACTTCCACTGAATTTGGCACACAAACAAAAACTAGTGTAACTGAAGTTACCAATAGAACAAGTGCTACTACTGCCACTACTACCACCAGTAGTAGCATAGTTGGCCATCGTACAACTACTGAGAGCAACTCAAGTACTTCCTCATCCCCTTCTACTGCTGTAGTGGCCACGACTCCATCTGAAGCTATAATTATCACCTCTGCCATGACCACAACCCGACAACCATATGTTTGTGACATCACTGTTCCCGATACTTACTTAATCATGGCTGGTAAGATATTGCTAACTTTATTTCAATTTTTTTCTTTAAAATTATTTCAAAACTATTCCCCATTCTCCCCCCCCACCCCCACAATTTACTGATGAACATCACCTTCTAATGCTAATCTTATCATTTAAATTACACATGTATGGGCGCTCAGTGAACATTTGAAAGGAACACAGCATGGAATGTAGATTACTAAATATAAACCTACTGTCTTGTTTACATGTACTTGTTATGAAGGGCCAGATTTTCAAAACTCAGCCTATATTTCCATGCATACAGCCTGGTTTGTATCCCTTGCTCATACAAATTATAAAATTTAGCTGCACAAAACCTGTCCCTTGTGCACAAGTGTAGTGCAAATGGTGCTTTAAAATTGATCATGCATACATGTAGGCTTAATTGCAGCTCCTTTATAATTTTGGTGTTAAATTTAGAGTATTCTTACAGGACTGTTATGCAGAATCTTTTAATAGCATGGTGGAATAAGTTTCCCTTTGAAGATATTGGGACTGTTTATAAATGCCATAATTTAAAATAAACTTTAGAACATGTGAAACTAAAGTCAGTTTTTCTAAATATCTTTAACATTTTATTTTGTCATGCGAAAATGAGCTATGTACCTGTATTTGGATTATTTTAGTTGGACTTGGTGTGGTTATGATCAGAAAAGTGACTTTGTTTGCTTAAAAAGAAAGTTGCCTTTTTACTGCCAAGCTAACTACAGTTGTGAAGGAGCCATATTTGATGTCAACCAACAAAAAATTTCCATTTAAGTTTTATGGTCAGAATGTGTGTGTTTGATGTATAAAACAGAAAGAACAGAGTTTAATATTTTCCAGATATGAGGGTGAGTTGGCTGTGCTAGTGTTAAGAAAGATCGTGGGGGCGGTTTTGGGGGGGGGGGGGGGACTTGTAAACAGAGCAGTTTTACTATGCAGATATTTGATGGAGAATAAATACAAAATACCAAGATGCCATTTTACAGTTGCTTTCAATAATCACTGTCATAATTTAAAGTATGGTTATGGTTAGCAATGCACCTGTGAGTGTTTATAAAGTACCTTCTTATTCAACAGTCTGCCTCCATGTGTAATCAATGCAGTGTTTGCTTGCTTTTTTTTTTAAACAAAAATAACATTGGTGGGTTTTTTTAAAAGCCTATTAGTAGTGTATATCCAACACAGTTATTGGACAGTGATTTGCATTCTATTCTGGCTTATGCATCATCTACAGAATTGTTAACTGTATTACAACAGCAGAATCTTTATTACAAGTGCCCAAATAAAAAAGAACACAGTTTGACTTTCAGATCCAGTTTGAATTTCTAGTCCATCTGTTACAAAGGTAATTGTTTTTACTAGCAGATGAACAAATTTGATATGGAAAAAGTTGAGAGAAAATAACCACAGAATCCATGAAGCTATTTATAGAGTCACCTTTTCAGGGTATAATTGCACTTCTGTCTGCATCTTGTCCCTATGTCTTACGCCTTCAACACACTTGACCTCATTACCTGCTTTGTCTTGCATCAAAAAACTGAAAATGCAACATTGAACCAAAGCACCATAGATGAAGCTAAAATGTACTTACTGACTCTCGTTAATTTCCAGTGCTGGCCCGCAGAGCTGTGCTAGAAAATGTCAGTGATTCCATCAAAGAAGTGCTGAGAGTTCAGTTCAGGCGATCAGTAGAACTGGAGGTAAGTGGTACCAAATGTGTACGTTCTTTGCTTAGTATAATGCTATAGTGTGGTGTGTTTTTGTTTTTAATTTTCCTGTATAAAATAACAATTAAAAACACAAAAACCTGGTGATTCTAAAGCACAGAGGAATTTTGTTTGAGGTTAAACAGGAATACTGTATACATAAAACATCTTTTCTTGCATTTTTAGTGCAAGTGTAACATGAATTGTTACTTATATTTTTATAATATGACAGATTTAGGGAAGCGCACCTTCCCGATAAGCAGTGCTCCCCCACAGCTCACGCTCTTTATTGGCTGCTGTGTTGAGTGCTGCCCCACCTGTTTCAATCCACTTTAACCCCTGCATAGATTAATATCGAAAGGTGAACTGAAAAGCTTATACCGTCTAAAATATCAGTTCAGGGCCCTGTCTTTCTCCAGTGCCAGCTGATGACATCCCAAGCACTTAAAACAAGACAGGGAGCCTTCTCCATAGCTTGTGCTCGTTTATGTTTTAGTGATATCAGTGCTTGCAGGGGAAATGTGGAATCCTGAACTCAAGACTTGATAGGTCGAAGAACATAGGAAATAATTTTCAGTTGTTAAATGTCATTTTTAAGTCTACAGATAGGTAAGTCTGGGATATTCAGTAGTGTTTTTCCCTCTCTCCTCTGTGATGTTGAAGTTTGTGTTTTTGTTTGTTTTAAAGGCTTAGACCACCCTCCAGGTTGGGACGCAAATCAAGTTTGGGAATCCATAGGACCTTGAGAGGTCATCTAGTTCAGTAGTCCCCTGCACCCATGGCAGGACTAAGTATTATTTAGACCAGTGGTTCCCAAACTTGTTCTGCCGCTTGTGCAGGGAAAGCCCCTGGCGGGCCGGGCTGGTTTGTTTACCTGCCGCGTCCGCAGGTTCGGCCAATCGTGGCTCCCACTGGCTGCAGTTCGCTGCTCCAGGCCAACGGGAACTGCTGGAAGCGGCGGCCAGTACGTCCCTCGGCCCACGCCGCTTCCAGCAGCTCCCATTGGCCTGGAGTGGCAAACCGCGGCCAGTGGGAGCCGCGATCAGCCAAACCTGCGGATGCGGCAGGTACACAAACTGGCCCGGCCTGCCAGGGGCTTTCCCTGCACAAGCGGCGGAACAAGTTTGGGAACCACTGATTCAGACAATCCCTGACAGGGGTTCGGAGATTTTTAAGAGCAGGTTAGACAATGATGGAGATTCCACAACCTTCCTTGGCAATTTATTTCAGTGCTTAACTACCTTCACAGTTAGGAAGTTTTTCCTAAAGTCCTTCTAAACCGCCCTTGCTGCAATTTAAGCCCGTTGCTTCTTGTCCTATCCTCAAAGATTAAGAAAAACAATTCTTCTCCTTCCTCCTTGTAATAACCTTTTATGTACTTGAAAATTGTTATCATGTCCCCTCTGTCGTCTCTTCTCGAGACTAAACAAATCCAATTTTTTCAATCTTCCCTCATAGTTCATGTTTTCTAGACCTTTGATCATTTTTGTTGCTCTTGTCTGGACTTTCTCCAATTTCCCACATTTTTCCTGAAATGTGGTGCCCAGAACTGCACACAATACTCCAGTTGAGGCCTAATCAGTGCGGAGTAGAGCAGAAGAATTACTTCTTGTCATCTTTATATAACGTTTCAGCATGGTTCCTAAGGCTAAAAAATCAGTGTAAATTGGGACTTATATTAAAGGCTGCATTCAGCAAAAAGTACCCCTTTTAAAAAAATTCTTTGACAGACCCTAGAAGTAGTTTTTTGGGTGGCAAACACAATGCTGACTTTAGTCTCTGCGCAATCAGATACTCTAAAATTTGAAATAATTACCATTGTTATGTAATGGTGGAAGAATCTGGCCCCTAAAGACTGAGCAAAGTTTAATTTACAGTTTAATTGTTTACAAGGGTTTAATTGTATCTTTGTTCTGGGATGTTACATTTTGAGACTAACAGTAACTAACATAGTAATGCTAACAGAAACTCTTTGGGGCCAGCTCAGCTTAGCATTTTGGGTGTGTTTTCTGTTTACCTTAAGAATTACTGGCTTAGCTTTCTTTCATTCTTAACTATTATTGTTGACTCTACTGAATATTTTGAAGACTATTCAAAACATCTGCTGTTTATTCTCAGTGTTGTCCATTCAACAAACCAAGTTTTATAAACAAAGAGCTTTTCTCTAGCTTTCTGTTAATTTGACCATAATAGCTCAGCACAGATGCAACATCTCAGTCTGTGCAAGATTTCTTTTTTAATTTTCCCAGCTTTCCTGGGTGGCTGAAGGCTTCTCTTACCTGCCTAGTTAACTTGAGTTATAACTCGTATATTGCCCCTAACTTGATTCCTGTCCACATACACAAACCCTTAACTTGAGCGTCGTGGTGCTTGTCACTTGAGGTGCCTGGCCTGTTGGGGAGGGGGTAAGCTAAAGCTCAAGTTAACACAACTCTGTGTTAATCTGAGTGTAGATATCAATTTAACTGCAATGAAGACATAGCTTGAGGCACAAGAAGATCCAGCAGCTTGCCCCAAGGTCACAAAGGGAGTTAATTACTCAGTTATGATTTGAATCTGGGATAATATTAACTCCCTAAGCCTTCATGCTTTCCTTATAAACATTGTTTAAAGAGAAACTGGCCCTACAACTGTACAGATTTATACAGTCTAGCAAAGCCTCCCTTGATTGGACAAATCTCAAATGTGTCGACCGTCAAGTTGTGTTGCAAGTGCAACCCATATGAAAGGCTTGTCTTTGCTGCAAAGTTATCTTGAGTTATAACTTAAGTGTTGTTCCTGTCTACTCTCACAAATTTCTGGCTCGAGCACAGTGATGCTTTAAACTCAAGCTAGCTGGCCTGTCGGGGTATTGGTTGAAGAATGAGTGCTGCTGATGCTCAAGCTACTGCATGCTGCCTGGATGCAGATAGAGTCTGCTTGAGTGCTGACAGGTCTCTAATGCTGTCCCAGAATTCCCCTTGGGACCTTTGTTGTGTTTACCTTCCTGCTCCCTGGTTCAGGACTTGAAAGTTACCTCCAGTCAGTATAAATAGCCTGCTTTAGTTTTCAGACACTGCCTTAGCACGCAGCTTTCTGCACCTGTTGCACTCCTTCAGATCAGATGGCATCTGATAGAGCATCCTAAGCATGCATCTAGCTGGCCTGAGTCTGACACCAATGTTCTTGTGGACCCTGTGGCGTGAGGCCAGTCAGAATGGCTTCAGGTCCAGGACCAGAAATCAAAAGTCTTATTATGCTACCTCCAGTAAGCTCGTTGAGGATGGGCTTCACTGGACTAGAGAAGATAAAATCCATGAAGAACCTGTACTGCCAGGCAAAGAACCACAAGTCCTAGCCTGATGACTCCCCTAAAATGTCCCCATTCTCTGAGGAGCTGCTCTGAGGAGGGTGCTCAGCAGTGTTCCAACCATGGAGCCTGAGTACACCCCGGACACCTCAAGGGCCCCCTGGAATGTGCGTGGACTCAGGGGAGGAACTGGAGCCAGGGTCAGCACCAGCCACAGCAATCTCAGCTGAGGCAGAGCAGATGTTTGCCACGTCCACGCACAGCCAGTCTGACCTCGTTCAGTACTCCTAGGACCTGTTTGGGGAGGAGATGGAGAAACAGACTGGGGAGAATGCAGCAGAGGAATCAGCATCACCTCAGTTGGGTAAGGGAGTGAGTGATTTGCCCTTGTTATGGCTAGGGGGGATATGACAACATAAAGGGGCTGTTGTTGCCTGTTTAGGACCAATCTCTATTACTGTAGTGGGGGGTGTTGGGTACTGGAGGGCAGGCTTTTATATTATACTGGTTTCAGGTTCACTTGAGGGGAAAGGGGAGAAATATCATCCCACTGGGCATGTACAGTCCAAGATGAATTCTGCGTGGGGGAACAAAATTTTAAACATGCAAGCAGTGATTTTTTTTGTGGTGCACACCCCTGCAGATATGCAAAGCCGTGGCTATTAATACAAGCCGAGCAATGGTCGCAAACACAGCAATGGAGGTGAGACAAGTATGGCTACAGAATGTGTGTACAGCAATATGTTTTTTCTCACACTACCCTAGCATTATGTTTTTGGAGGCAGCCAAAGCTTTAAAAAAAACGAAACACTAGCCTAGGAAATAAGTCCATTGCATGGTCTTTGGCAGTATTAAATCCAGAGTACTTGCAAAGTCTCTTGGAAATACTGGTCTGTGGTCTGGCTGCCAGAGTGGAAGGGGGTAGGTTGCAAAGGCACATCTGTGGTGGTTCTGTGTTACTGCCTCTAGTTTAGCATCCTGTTTATACTGTCCCAGATTAGTTCACTAGTCCCCTGTCATCAGTCTGCCCATCACTCGCCAGATGATGAAACAGCTTCCTGGCATAGATGGGTGGTTATCTTCCAGAGTCCTGGAACACGTGTTCAGTGATCTCAGGCAGGTTCACCTCTTCCATTGCCAGCACAACTTGAAATAACAGTACTGTCATGGAGTTAATGTTCTGTCGTCCCAGGCCTGTCCCTCACACATTCAAGTCCGCAACCCCCCTTTTAAAAATGAAATAATAAAAAAAAATTGTGTGACTGTATAAAGCATTTGCCATTGTCGGGGGCAGGGGAGGGAACGCTGGAACTGAGCAGCTTCAGAGTAGAGAAATGCAAAGATGGAGGACAATGAATGCCAAGGAGGTAAAAGTTGTGACTTTTCCCCCGCTGTGAAGTTAAAGGGAGAAACTTTTCTTTTTTCCCCCTCTGGGCAGAAGAATAATGCATTGTTTTTCAGGACCATCTGCCCCAGTACAGGTGAGACATCCACGTAGAAGACCACTGACAGTGAACACCAGGGTCCAGAACCTCTGAAGCAAAAGGAAAAGGATAAAGGACAACCTGCTGCACAGAGACTTTGTCCGTAGCTGAGACTGCCTCTTTGAGCTCCTAGGGAGACGATAGAACAGGACTGGCAGAACCAGGCTGCAGCTGAGGGGATGCTGGAGAGGAAGAAGATGGCTGCAAACGACATCACCCAT